CCTCTACGCCTCCCGCGCCAAAACAGGCCTCCGCTCAAAACCCAGGACCCCAAGAAAAATCTCATGCATCGGATGGGTATACATACATACAAACATCCAACCCTCGACTTAATTCCCCCAATTTCGTTATATTTGGTCCCTATTTTTTTCTCACGATCGCTCAATCGCAGGACCCAGAAGGGGTTCTGGGCCCACCGCAGGGCGGGCACATCGCAAGGCTGGAGTTCAAGAAGAGGATGGAGAGGGACGCCGGAGCTCGGGAGGCTTGTTCGGACCGGCAGGTCAAGGCAGGAGCAGGGAAGCGCCGCCGAGCCATTCGAGAAGTAATCAATTTTCTCGTTTCACATTTTCTCCATTTGAGTTTCTCTTATGTTTCGAATTATAATTGCGCATAGACCCCTGAAAAATGGCGCATTGGAACTTACTATGGCTGCTAGTGCAAGAGTAAAAGATTTTTTTTTAAAGAAAAAAAAGGTAATTGGCACTTAAATACCATATTGTTTCACTAACTCTGCCCTTAAATACCCCGAGTTGTAAAAAGTAGCACAAAAATACCCTAAGTTGTCCACGGTTAGAACCATGTTATAACACCGTCAACAGCCTCCAGTGAAGGGTGATAATAAATTGAAGGGTTAGGTAAAATTATAATTAAAGAAACAAATGGCGTGCACATGAGAATATTCCTTAGAATATTCTAACATCCAATTAACAGAAGGTAGCAATGTGCTACTTTTGAACAACTTAGGGTATTTTTATGCTATGTTTTACAACTCAAGGTATTTACGTGTAAAGTTAGCATAACAATAGGGTATTTAAGTGCCATTTAGCCAAAAAAAAAAAAAAAAAAATCACTCGGAGGATTTGTTAAAATCAAACCAGAGGGGTGATAAATTCCAAAACGCAATACTCATGGGGTCTATGTGCAATTAACCCATATATTTTTTTGGCAATCCTAAGTTTTTAGTTAGTGTTGTATTCTTTTACATTATGGATGTTTTGGTTAGAATTTTTTGGACCAATGAATGCATTAGAACTGTATACAGCTTCACTTACAACTCTTCTATTTCTGGCCTGTTTTGCTTTTGCAATAACTTTTCGGTGTTATAACAATATTATGGGAATAACACGCCCTATGTTGTGGAAGATACAGAATTCCAAACAAATCACATAACAATGATAATCACAAATGTGCACAGAGGTAACAGGTTTGAAATAAGTTGTACATTCTCAGGCATTAGTCTTTTTTTTTTTAATAATTTGAAGGGAGATGCGAGAATTATTATCATAAGGAATATTCAATCTCCAAATCCTCATCTCACGCATAGTGTATAGAAACTTTCCTGAAACAAAATCCCAAAATTCAGAATAATAAAGAAGGGTTAAGATTTAAGACTTGCCAAACACACTGATTCAAGAGTCAGCAATCTTTTGATACATCATTAATGTAATTTACATAAATGACTATATATTTTATCATTAAGAATGATGATTGAACTTTGGATTTGGATGGCTAGGCGAGGGTTGCGCCGGATACGATAGAGGGGCTGCTGGAGTATTTTCTTGATACCGATGCAAGGGAGCTCGAGTTTGAGATCTCCAGGTTGAGACAAAGGTAATATTGAATGCAGAATGCCACATTTTCTCATTTGAAGTGAATGTTAGTTAATGGAAAAAAGAAACTATTGAGATAATATGTTTTTCCTCTGTTTCTGACTGGTTTATGTGATAAAATTCTGATGAAATGTTCTAATTTTCTTGCTTCAGTTCATGGTTCATCATACTGCAGTCTTATGTGCTAACTGAAGTAATATTACTTCTAGTCTTCTATAGTGTTAGTTTTTATTTCTTTAAACTGTTTTGTTGTATGCTTTTGCAGATTAACCAAAGAATTCTTTGACCATATAAAGCTCGAACTTGGACAGCTGCGATTTGCTGTGAATAGAACACAGGTTTCAACTCGAGACCTAGAAACACTTGAATGAAAACTAATTATTACTTATTAGATAATAAAACTATCTGATTGCTTTTAGTAATGTATATTTTGAACTAATGTTTTTTTGAAGGAGATGGAAGATAGAATGATTGTGCTGGAGGCAATACAAAAGGTGTTGTTGGAAGGAACAGGTTTGTGACCGTCATATCGATATATAATGGTCAATATTTTTGAATCACAAAAACCTGCTCTGTTATTTGAAAGAACTTTCCATTATACCGTAACTATGTAGTCATAAGTATAGGATTCTAGTTTTATATTCTTACATTATGTCTTTCCCTCTCTCTCTGTAGAAGCATATGATAAAATGGAAAAGGACCTTGTATCAACAAAGGAAAAACTGATGAGAATATTGCAGTCGAAAGATAAGAAAACAACGGTATGGTTACTGAACCAGCAATTTATTTGTATTAAGCATTGTGTTGTGCTTATCTTAATAGCAAATTTTCCTGAAATTGATATAAGATCTATCTTTTGTCAGTTACTTGATATGGTAGAGCAAAATGAATTGAACAGATCGGTATTAGCCCTTCTCGATGAAAACATAGCAAGCGCAATCGAGAACAATCAGGTTAGTGCATTTGCTTAGAAAATGGTTTGAATTCATTTTATGTTCATATTGGGTGTGTCATAATTCCTGTATTCAACTGTTTTTTCTTGCAGAAAGAAGCTGCAGCTTATATGGAGAGTGTTCGTGCAACTATGCTGAAGTATATCACAGTGTAACTATGAAAATAACCGTTGTTGTGGATTCAAGCACGCATATTTAATATGATAGAGCGAGAGAGCAAGAGAAGAATGGAGGAAGAGAGATGCGAAAATTCGAAATTCATGGGTTTCATCTGTGAAGAATGTTTTGAATGCTTTTGGTTGATGGATGCAAGAGAAATTATTGAATGATTGTGATATGTAATTTAAAAATGCTTCCATCTTGCATCCTTCTCATTTAAAAGATAATGAATGAAATGTGAACTAAATAGCAAGAATTTGTATTTATATTTTGATGTTAAATCGAACCATGGAGTATACTTGTTAGATAACCATTCTATACAAACGCTTCCTAGATGTTTCTACTCCTTAAATAGGCTCTGGAAGACTTTTTACCCCCTTTTATTTATTTTATTTTATAAAAAAAAGTTGGTAAATATATTTTATTCCGGATGTTGAAGTAATTTATTTAGGAAATTATAAGCGTTTTTCCTGTGCTTGCATGGGTTTGTCTTACAAGTAAAAAATAAAAAAAAGGAATAGGGAGCGCGTAGAGGAAATCAAACTCATCTCATTAGCTTGGAAGGCTTGAAGTATGTTTTTTGTATTTATATTTGATTTATTTGGTCTCTATGGATTACTTCTTTTGTCATGTGCTTCTAAATTTAATTGTACTGGAATTTTTTTCCCTTTGGACTACTGCCTTTTCTTTTTGTATTTTTTTTTATATAATCTGTTTTTTATGAATGTAAGCATAGTAATGGTTTTAACCAAATAACTTATACTATATGACTAATTAAAATGAACATGATATCACTTTCAAATTTCACTGTAGTGTTATAATTCCATACCCCCCCAGTTAGGTTCTGTTTGGCAAAACTAGCTGAAAACTGCGAGATTATAGCTGAAAGTTGTTAAGCTAGCTGAAAGTTGTGAAATTGTAGCTGAAAGCTGATAGCTGTGTAGCTAGCTGATTGACTAGAGCTGTTTGGCAAAAGTAGCTGTACAAGTAGCTTAAATTTGTTAAATGACTAAAAAGGACATGTAATATTATTGATATAAAATTAAAATTATTAGGGGCAAAAATGGAAGAAAAAAAATTGGCAGCTCCTTCCCAAAGACAAACGCTATTTGAGGTAGCTTTCCAAAAGCTACTTACAAAAGACACAATCTTCAAAATAATCTCCTCCTATTTTTGATCACCAAACAGCTCTACCAGCTTATTGACAAAGTCAACAAGACACAATCTCTTAGATAAGACACAATCTCTTGTTGCCAAACAGTGTCTTACTCTTGGAAGACTTTTTTCTTCTATTTATTTTATAAAAAAGTCGTTAATTCCGGATTTTGAATTATTTCGTTGTAGAAGTTAGTAGTTTGGGCCATAAAACCAAACCCAAGCCCATGTATCTCGGCAGGCTCCTCGCTTCTCTAGCTTGTTCGGTTGTCCCTTTCCAAATGTACGGGTGTGGTCATGCGGAGCACGTTTACACGTCACTTCCCCCCAGATATTTTGTTCCCGCAGCCTCTTACCCTGTCCCAGCAGAAGCCTATCCCGCCACAACATTCCACACGTGGACTCTCTACAATAGCTCAAATCACTGTTCTCTGTTCACACCCAATCATCGAATCCACTCGCTGTTCCCTATTTTCCGTCATGGCGAGAACCCGGTAGTCAGTAACGGAAAGATCCGGAACCTGACAGCCACACACGGTTCCGATGTTCCGCCGTCACATCCTATAACAGTTAGATCAAAACCCAGAACCCTTCCCTCAACCAATAGGATCGACATTGTTTTCCTATTCACCAGCGCCTGCGGTGCACCAGACCGCTGCACAGAAAAGGATTTTCAGTATATACCCAAAGTTGTAAGCCCAGTTGTTTTTAAGCCCATCCGCTAAAGAAAATTTCAGGAGCTGGTGGGTCCGTAGGTAAATTGGAGCGGAACGTTGGGTTCATAATTGAAAATTCCCGCACAGAAATCGTTTTAAACAGGGCCCACCGCCACGACTCTCGGGCTCAATCGACGCATCAATCTCAGCAACCAAATATAAACCGTACGACCAAGATCAGACGGCTCGAGATAGTCCTCAGTCTCTCATCGAGCTCCTTATTGTCGAGAGAAAACCCTAGATCGAAAACATCGAAATTGACCGTTTCCTTCTGCCGCCAAAGGGAAAAGAGAGCAAAAATGGCGACTTTTTCGATCTAAAGATGGTGGATCGGCGATTCGTTGATCTACCTGCGATGATCGATGAGAATTCACGCGAGATCTGAGAAGAGACCGACGGTTTTGCGAAGGATCCGAGAGGAAACGATTGGTTCTAGGGTTTTCCCCTTCAGGACCCCTACGCCGACGCCGGCGTCGATGCCGACAGTCGGAACGAGGCGGTCTACGAGAGTGTTCGTCCCCAAGCAGCAGCAGCGGCGATCGATATCCGGCGACGGCGATCCTGCCAGAGTTCTCCGATCGGGGAAGCGGTTCGCGATCTCGACGGATGATGGGAGAGAGTGGTTGAAGGTGTTTGGAGGCGTCGATGGCGATGAAGTGGATCTGGATCGGCTGAAAACGAAGGCAAATAACGTTAGAAAAAGATTGGAGAAGGAGAGACATGAGATTGAGAAGGGAATTGAGGCGGAAAAGTCGTTTGGGATCGTCTACAGTCGAAAGAGGCGGAGAACGACGTCGAACGATGACAAAAATCACAAATTTGGGATCGTTTTCCAGCGCAAGCACAGGAGGAAGGAGCAAAAGGTGAGGACTGTAGTTGAACGGGTAACCGAAGAACCGCAAACAGATTGGGTATTTAGGGGATTTGGTGTTGATGAGTGTTCGCGGGTTTTTGCGGAGAAATTTGGGATTTTGGACAATGATCTTTGGAGGGGAGTGGAGTGTGGCCAAGTAGTTCTTGCTGTGCTTGTCGATTCATCTGTTGTTTTTAGTTCGAACAGGCTCGGGCATTTTCTTATTTTAGTTATGAATTGGATGAGAAGAGCTAGAGTTGAAGTGAGTGATCTTGTTGCATTTCTCTTCGGGAGGTCAATATGTAGTGTTTTCTCCCAGAATGGTATTCATTTCGTACCGATTCAGCATCAGGAAAATGTAAGTTTTTTTTAGTATTTCCAGTGACCTTAGAATTGGTTCCCCTTTAATTGACGTTGCTATGTTATTTTGTTGTTCAGAGTATCCTGTATAGAAATTCTCCAGCTGGCTGTGGGTTCTGCAAGATTTACGGTGCCAGAGAGTTTGTTCCCCTGTTATCTGTTGATTACCCTGCTCTTCCTTCTTATTTCAAGCTTTTGCATGCAGTTATAATTGTTAGGTCCCATTATCTCCCAAGAGTTCTTCGTTCAGAACAGTTGGCTCACGTGATTGAAAATTCCTTGGTTGTTTATGTTGATGATAGTCCTTTGGAGATGAGGGTTTCAGGCACTGAGTTCACTGTTTCTGAAACTCCCGCTGTGAAGATGGTTGAATTGCCAGCTCTTGAGGACTCTTTTGTACCGGGTTCACCAAAATCAGTGATCACAAATGGTTCCCCGATTAGGAGGCATCAGAGGAAGAGGAGTTCATTGAAGAACCATAGAACCTACAGTCTTTCATCGACAAGATTACGTTTTGGTTCATTTGGCGCCAGTCAGAATAGCTCCTTTATTTCTTCAACAGCCAAGCGGGACTTTGCAGTGTCTCCTGTCAGTGTGAAACCCATAGATTCTTCCCTTTCTGACTTGTATAGTGCACAAGAGGAGAGTGATGTTGCTTCATCTCCGGGGTCTTGTTCAAAGCTAAGGAAGTCAGGAGGGACAAATATTTGCGTTGAAAAGATGAAGGATTTGAAGCATGCACTGGCGGAGGTGAGGCAGAATATCGACTCAGCATGCTGCAATGTCAATATCTTGGTTGCTGACGCTGAAAAAGGTTGGCGTGAAGATGGGGCCCGAGTTGTGCTGGAAATGTCTGAATCTCAAGAGTGGTATTTGGCAGTTAAGAGAGGAAATGTGACGAGGTTCCTGTACAAGCCTCAAGATCTTAAACTTTGTAGTGTAAATAAATTCACTCATGCCTATATATGGAGTGGTGGCGGGGAGGATGGTTGGAAGCTTGAGTTCTGTGATAAGTGGAATTGGCATGTCTTCAAAGAGTTGCATATGGAATGCAGGAATCGTAACTTTCAAGATGCTTATGTGAAGGTAATCCCAATACCAGGGGTCAGGGAGGTTTCTGGTTATGAGGATGTTGCCGTGCCTTCTTTTACACGCCCTGATGTATATCTTGAAGTTATAGAGGATGAAGTTGATAGAGCTCTAGCAAGTGAAATTCCATACTATGATATGGATTCAGCGGATGAGGAGTGGCTGCTAAACCTTAACTCCAACTTGTCAGATGCACTGGGTGATTATTCAAGTTATATCTCCGATGAAAAATTTGAGACAATAATATTTGCTTTGGAAAAAGATGCATATAGACGTCGGAATGATCCTTCTGAGAAGGAAAGAGCAGTTGATCTTTTTCAAAGTTTGGGAACGAGGGATGTTGTGTCTGCTATATATGATTATTGGCTACAGAAGCGAAAGCAAAAACGTGCACCCTTGGCTAGGGTTTTCCAGGTAACAATGACATTCTGAAGATGATAATTATTTTGCATATGGTTTGACTATTTTGTTGTAACACTTAAAACATGATATGTATCAGGGCCCACCCTTGAGAAGAACACCGGTAATACATAAGCCATTTTTTCGGAAGAAGCGATCTTTTAAGAGGCAGCGGAGCCAGGCTGAACGGAACCAGGCTGAATGGAACCAGGCTGGGAGAGGCAAGCCGGACCTGTTCTTGCAAGGTACCACTTCGCAATTGCATTTACCTTTAATATGATGCAACCAAATGTTGAAATCAATTATTCTAGTATGACCATGTGCTTCTGTTGGGATTGCCCTTAAAAGAATAGCCAAGATTTACCTCCATTATCTGCCTGATGCTTCTTGAGTTAAACAGCTCATTTGTTTAAAACCCCGTTCATCTACGAATCAAATTTAGACATTTACAAATCAAATTTAGACATGCGTATGTTTCCATCATGCTTAAAGACAATAGTAAATAATGTAAACACATCATTCTTTGCAGTATTTTTTCTGTATGGTAAAATTGTGATTGTCAATATTGAAATCTATGATGCAGTGCTATGAAGAATTAGAATAAAATAGATTTCTAAAGAGAATTAAGAAATTGGTTAAGCTGCAAAAAATTGATATCCAATGAGAAAGAACGCTTCTTTTTCCTTGCCTGAACCAAAGTGTTGAAGTTAAGTTTTGATTTTGAATATTTGGAATATCAGAAACACTTACCTCGCATTCCCTTCTATCTTTCTATCTCCCTTTCCGTTTGTCTCTGTTTTTAGTTTTCATTTCTCTTCTTCAGTCAACATGAATGGGGCTTGCTTTTTCAAGGAAATGATGTCATACAATTTCATAAAGTATGGCAAATGGAAAGGAAGTTGGGTTGAGATCTAACTTTCCATCAGTGTCTTGAATTGTCATCATATCATTTTTTATTTTCTTTAAGAATCTTAGTAAACATTGTCTTAAATGTGTTTGTGGACGTATATAGTTTCTAATATAGACTCCTGATATAGAGTTCATATCCTCGGTGTCCACTATTCAATTTGAGGGAGCCTGATCCCACCAAACTTGATGTCCAATAATTAGAGAAGAATCCCCTGTAAGAGCAGTACACATACATTAAAACTATCTTACGATGCAGATCAATAATTTATTAATTCATGAAATTGGGACCAACGAATCTAAAATTAACTGATCACACTAATAAAACTGTGAAAAAATCCGCTGCATACCTTCAAGTTTAATATTTTCCAAAAGCTTAACCCCTTAATTGAACAGCAATGTAGGATATTCTTTCTCAAACCCGGTTGGATCTAGATTCGGTATGGTCTTCTGTTGCAATAATGTTTTCTTAATCCGATTATCATAGTGGACGTTGTTGAGTGATATGATCAAATTCACCAGGAAGTGAACTATCATTTGCTGTAAATACTTGTCCAGCCATTAAAGAGTTTTGTGAATTTGACTTATTCTGGAACTCTATTCAACCCTGCTTGAATTTTTTTAAACCTTATGATTTCCCTATCTTCGGTCATACTGAGTGATAAATCCTCAGTAAATTTCTTGAGTAGATCTTGAAATTCCATGGTAAAGGGAACTTGACTTTTACCCCTTGCTGCTCTATGTTAACTTGCATTGGGCAACCGACCAGATAACGCAGCTGAAATTCTAGTTAATCTCAAACTTAACGTTGCTAACCTACTTTGTCAAAAATCAGAACCAAGGTGTTCTTGTTATCTTTTCTAAGTGCAACGGTCTAATTCAAAGGTTTGAAATGAGGGCAAAGTTGTGTTTTGAAATGCATGAGAGGTGCTATAAACTTGATGGCCTGCTTGGAGTGCAGTATAGTTTGCTCAGTTGAGATATCTAACTAGGAGGCTAGAAGAGTATAAAAGTACTTATGAAAGAGAGGAATCTATTCTTGAGAAATCATAACCAGATAACTTAAAATAATTCATCGAAACTCTTTAGCTGTTCTTTGCATTACCTATAATCTTCATTCTTTTCTCTACATTTTCAGGTCTCAGAGTAAGTTTTAGGAAAAGAACCCAGAAGAGAAAATTTCAAGAATGATGTCTTTAAAGGTGATATTTCATTTTCAATGTATCTGCTGGTCCCAGGATAATTTCCATCTGAAGCGGCCAATAAATAAACTTTCCATTTAAAGAAATCATTATTTATATGATCTATTTTATGACCAAATTGCTGGATTTCTGAGAGCTCTTGGATAGTAGCCGCAAGAACGCCAAGCAATCTATTCTTGACCACCTATTTGCATGGGTTACTTGTTCATATAAATTAGGTAGTCAGGTAGTCTCATGGTTTGCCGAGTTTTTATAGCCCATCAGTTCAAGCATTTTCCTTTCAGTTCGGCGGATTTTAAGCTCATCAACTTTCATTTATGGTACCATTCTTGATTTCTTTGTTCACACGCAGTCAAATTCTGATCCCTTGCCGTAAAATTTAACCATTTCTGATGTTTTTTCCCCCTGTGATGCAGCTCAGCAAGCGGAGGTCCGAAAAGTTCAGGAAGCAGAAGATGCTGCGAGTAGAGCTGTTGAGTATGCGACCCGACTTCGCAGCAGAGCTCAGAAACTAATGGCAAATGCTGATCTAGCAGCATACAAGGCTGCCATGGCTCTCAGAATTGCTGAACTCATTCGGGTATCATCATCACCATCATCACCATCATCACCATCAAAATCTCCTGATCTCGATTCTTCCATTCTCTTAGACTGAAATGCCGGAGGCAGACAGTTTTTTTGTGTACAGGATCATCGAAAATAAGCTGGTGTTTTATTTTTATTTGACGAGAATACACGTTTATGTGTAGTCAAAGGTGGTGATTCTGGGCAGTTTTTTGACTGTTTTTTATGGCTGGGGCACAAGTAGGGGGCTGTTTTTTTTTTATTAAGAAGCCAATTTTGAGGTGGGAGGTCCAGAATTTGCGCTCTCAGGAAAATTGTAATTTTGTACAGAGATAGGTGTTGGTAGATTTTCTTCTGTATTATTTTGTCTAATGAAAAGTTGTACGCTGATTTTTCCTATGGGTCGTCTCAGCTTATAGGGGACAATTATGGCTGGGGTGAAAAAAAAAAAAAGAAAGATAAAAAAAGCTGGGGATAGGAAATATAAAAAGGACAGTGCTCTGCAAGCACTGTTTCTTAACACTCTTTTGTGTCTGTCATTTTGCTATCTCGTTTCTGCTTTTTCTATGGTTATATATCTCTTCTAAAGCATAAAAAAGAATTTAAGTTAATATTTGCCGCAAGTGGCCTTCACTCGTGCTGTGTGGGGGCATGTGTCGTGGCTAGCTGTCCTCTTTTAGAAAATAATCACGGACTCAATGTAGCATGTAGAATTTTAAAAAATCTGTTTAAAAGTTGGTGGCTAGCAAAATCCGAACTTGGGTTGCTTTGATACCACATCCAAGGTCCCTACCGCTACACCAAAAGTTTAAGTTATTGGTGAGAATTAGTTGTTATATTTTTATGTATAATAGAAATTAATTGTCATTGGGTCAGAGTAGAAATAGACGATGAAAAATCGTGGGTAAGAATATCGAGAATTTTAAAATATGTGCAACTTATAGTCATGTGGTCCAAATGGACAATAACAAAGAAAAATCATGAATATAGCCTATGAAATCGTGGGTTTTTATAATACTTATACTTAATTGTCTTTGTATTGAAATAGATAAAAATTAGTAAATAATGAGTTATCGCTCATGAAAATAGCAAAATTTATAATAAAGTATATTTAATTGTCATTATGTCTAATCAAACAAAATTGACAAATCATAGGTTATAGTCAATGACAACGCAAATGTTCAAACATGTATACTTAATTACATACGGATTGAAATATACAAAAAATGACAAAAAATCAACAAAAAAACGTGAGTTGGTCATGAAAATCGCGAATTTTAAAATAAGACTACCTACTTGTCATTTGGTCAAAACAGAAAAATGGACAAAATCGTAGGTTAGTTCATGAATATCATGAATTTTTAAATAAACATATACATGAATGTCGTTTGGTGGGAATAGACAAAAATGGACAAAAATCGTAGGTTAGCCCATAGAAATAGCAAATAAGGAACAGCATGCTATTGAGTTGAAATAGATGAAAATGAACAAAGAAATCATGGCCATGACAATTAGGAAATTTCAGCTACCTTTACTTTAATGACCATTGTGTCGAAATGGACAAAAATGAATAAATGATGGGTTATAATATCCTACGAAAATCCTGAATTTTGAAGTACACTTACTTAATTTTCAATTGATCGAAGTAGACAAAAAGCAACAAAGTTCACGAATTATAGCCTGCGAAAATCATGAATTTTGAAATACATATATGTTATAGCCATTTGATTGAAATAAATAACAAAAGAGAAAAATTGCCTATGAAAACACAAATATTGGAATGCGCATACTTAATTGCCTTTGGGTTAAAATTGATAAAATTCATGAATTACAGTTCATGAAAATTGTGATTTTTGAAATAAGAGTACTTAATTGCCATGTGGTCAAAACGAGAAGTTTGAAGCATGTGTACTAATTTTTTTGGCAAGCACGTGTACTTAATTGTTTTTGGCTTGAAATAGAAACATTGATAAAAACGTGAACTATAGCTCATGAAAATTATTATTTCATCAAAACAGACAAAAATAGGCAAAAATCGTAGGTTATAACAAATAAAAATCGTAAATTATGAACAAAATGTTTTTGAGTTGTAATAGATGAAAATGAACAAAAACCGCGGGTTACAGCCCATGAAAATCTAGAATTTTTAGCTACACTTTCTTAGGGCATTGTGTTGAAAGGGAAAAAAATGAACAAAATTGTGTGTTATAATATCTTATGGAAAATGCTAAATTTTCAAAGTACACCTCATTTGATCGAAAGGGACAAAAATGAGAAAACAAAATCATTGGTTATAGCCCATGGAAATCGAGAATTTTAAAATACGCGTAAATCATAGCCATTTTGATCGAAACAAACATAACAAAGAAAACTCATGGGTTATAGCTAAGGAAATTGTGAGTTTTGAACTACATATAATTTGGATTGAAATAGACAAAGATTGACAAAAGACGTGGGTTACAGTTCATGAAAATCACGAATTTTGAAATAAGCATACTTAATCGTGATGAGATACAAACGGATAAAAAAAACAAAAACCGTGGATTATTATTCTGTTGTACACAAGCCTTTATGATTGAGGTTACCCGTTTGCATGCGGGGTGTTCTGGTGAAATGTTTAGGTCGCCATTGACATAAGCTGTGATACGATATGAGCATCAACTGTGAACAACACACGAAGAGGAAGATTTTGGCGAACTCAAGCTCAGGTTTTTGGATTTGATTCAGATACATTGTGCGCCACCCTTTCCCTCGTCAATGAACCAAAAGTAGAACAATTTTCATGACAAATGCGCTAACCAATGACCAAGTCCCAACAGAATGAAGGTAAACCAAATGAAACATCAAGCACAGGAACAATCACGCGAAAATCTAAACAAAACAAGGATGAGAATTTGTTCTCTGTCACTAGCTCGAGCTGGGAGTAAACCAGACGGCAGGCTGCCGTCCTGGAATCGACCCAAAGTCCGCAACAAAATCCCTCAATGGCTCGATACTCCCATCTCCGACATCAAAAACCCCAGCATCACGAAAGGTACCAGCAACATCCCCCACGGAATTCAACCCATGATCAAGAAAGCAAACACGGTTCCCTCTGAACACACCACCGTCGTCACTCTCCGCCATCATCGGTATCGTTCGGTTCAATCCAAGAAACAATACCCAGCTCCCCAGTCCCTTTCGGTTCGATCGAAGAACCACCCGTTTCCGCCATCAGCTTAAAGACCTCGAACCCTGTCGTCGCCTTGTTGACATATAATTTCTCACCACAAGCAGCAAAACCCCATCCATTTCTACGTACCAAGTAACATTTTTCTTCTCTCCCGATGAATGGAGGCGCCCGAGTGACGACGACCCGAGCAAGCTCTGTCAGTTGCCCATCATCATAGCCCAGAGTGGAAACCCTTCTGAATCCGTCGACAACGTGAAGTCTTCCATTGTGATAGAGAGCATTATGGTAGGTGCAGCCACCTTTGATTAGATACCTCGACGGTCTGAGGTTACAATGAGAGCCGTTACAAGGCGTCTCCCTGCAGATTGATACCTCGACGGTCGGATTCGAGTCGGATGCTGAGACGACTTGGGATGATTTAACATGCGAGGCCGGTAATAGTCTTTTCGCTTGTAGGAACAGTGGCGTAGCCAGGGTATTCTTGCCCTAGGCAGCTGCCCAGGGCAAGAATATCCCGCCATTGTCACCCTCCCTCCTCTCCGCTTCCCCTCTCTTCTTCCTCATCTCCTTCCTCTCTTCAACTTTGTCGAGCATTTCCCTGATCTTCTGCCTCTCCCACGACCTCTCCCTCCTCCCTCTCCCGCGCCTCCCTCCTCTCTCTCACTGAGCTCCTCATACTCGTAGAACATTTTTATTTTTCGCCCAGGGCAAAAAATAATCCTGGCTACGTCACTACTTGCAGGCTAAACTGATGCACATTTTCAGATACATCATAAAGTCTGAAATGGTATCGGAATCGATCATAAAGTCTGAAATGGTATCGGAATCGAACAACGGAAATTAAATAACCGCACAATATATATAATGTGAGTAAATAAAAAAAAAAAAAAAAAAAACAAAACAAAAACCGATGAGAGCATAAAGGTGCAAATTGGGGAAACTATAAAAGTACAAATTTTGGAAAAATATGAGGTATTTAAGTGCTGAGAAAACCAAACTTCCAATCTTCGCCGAGAGCTTTCTGGTCGCTTCTAAAATCTCCCCATTCAAAAAGTATTAAAATCCCAAAAGCTTTGAGCAGCAGCATCAGATGCTGCTTCTTCTTCCCCATTCCTCTCGTCTCTCTCCTCCCTCAATCTCTCTCCAAAATGAGAAAACAAAATCATTGGTTATAGCCCATGGAAATCGAGAATTTTAAAATACGCGTAAATCATAGCCATTTTGATCGAAACAAACATAACAAAGAAAACTCATGGGTTATAGCTAAGGAAATTGTGAGTTTTGAACTACATATAATTTGGATTGAAATAGACAAAGATTGACAAAAGACGTGGGTTACAGTTCATGAAAATCACGAATTTTGAAATAAGCATACTTAATCGTGATGAGATACAAACGGATAAAAAAAACAAAAACCGTGGATTATTATTCTGTTGTACACAAGCCTTTATGATTGAGGTTACCCGTTTGCATGCGGGGTGTTCTGGTGAAATGTTTAGGTCGCCATTGACATAAGCTGTGATACGATATGAGCATCAACTGTGAACAACACACGAAGAGGAAGATTTTGGCGAACTCAAGCTCAGGTTTTTGGATTTGATTCAGATACATTGTGCGCCACCCTTTCCCTCGTCAATGAACCAAAAGTAGAACAATTTTCATGACAAATGCGCTAACCAATGACCAAGTCCCAACAGAATGAAGGTAAACCAAATGAAACATCAAGCACAGGAACAATCACGCGAAAATCTAAACAAAACAAGGATGAGAATTTGTTCTCTGTCACTAGCTCGAGCTGGGAGTAAACCAGACGGCAGGCTGCCGTCCTGGAATCGACCCAAAGTCCGCAACAAAATCCCTCAATGGCTCGATACTCCCATCTCCGACATCAAAAACCCCAGCATCACGAAAGGTACCAGCAACATCCCCCACGGAATTCAACCCATGATCAAGAAAGCAAACACGGTTCCCTCTGAACACACCACCGTCGTCACTCTCCGCCATCATCGGTATCGTTCGGTTCAATCCAAGAAACAATACCCAGCTCCCCAGTCCCTTTCGGTTCGATCGAAGAACCACCCGTTTCCGCCATCAGCTTAAAGACCTCGAACCCTGTCGTCGCCTTGTTGACATATAATTTCTCACCACAAGCAGCAAAACCCCATCCATTTCTACGTACCAAGTAACATTTTTCTTCTCTCCCGATGAATGGAGGCGCCCGAGTGACGACGACCCGAGCAAGCTCTGTCAGTTGCCCATCATCATAGCCCAGAGTGGAAAC